TAAAACCACATTTTTTTTTATGAATTTCTTTTAGAAGAAAAAAATTGTAGTCAATCTTTTTCAGCCAGCTGTTTGTTAGTGCACAGCAACAGATTGGGGAGGAGAAGCTGTAAATTGTTCAATGTTCAAAGCAGCCAGACAAATCTCTTTCAGCTCCAATCCTTTCTGTATAGACTGATCTATGCCTAGTTTCATATAGACACTCAGGGCGTGTTATCAACCTTTCCTCTGTAACAATACAGAACTACAGTATATGGCTTAAATAATTACAAAATTAGATTCTTAACAACTCCTTTTAGAAAAGTTATGTTCAGCCAAAAATACACTATTGAGTACAGACCTCCTGCAGACAGCAAGGGCAGCAGCAGCCGATACATCGCAAAGGCCGGATAAGACGGATGACCTCCCTGTCCATGTTGTCCTTGATCTTCATGTCAAAGCAGCGCAAAGAACCAATACAATTTCTGGTGCAGCAGTCGGTCTCTTCGTTGGCAGTGTAAATCTTCTGGCCCATGGTGTTCTTTATATCATACTTGTTGTTTCTCTCGAATCCAATGATAGCTGTGGAAGAATAAAGAGTGTGGATGGTTCAATAGTTTTATGTGGAGAATAAATAGTATCAATTCAAAAATATTGATCCTTATGGGACACCATAAGCAATGTCCAAGATTGACAACTGATATGATAACCATTTTTACAAATTGCTGTATTCTAATTTAATGGTGCCTAGGTGGAAGTGCAACTGAAGAAACTCATTGCTTTCCTTCATCCACCTGCGACACAGCCAATCAGATGACAGAATTTCAACCCACCTCCAGCCCCTCCTCCACCATCTTAGCTAAAGATTCATCAGAGTGTTATTCCTCCCGGACTCTTACTGCGTTCCCTGTCTCATCTCAACCGGTCCGGCAGAAGACCGCCATGTTGAGCCTGGTTCTACCAGAGATTTCTTCCCAACGGGGAGTTTTTTCTCTCTACTGTTGCTTCATGCTTGCTCATCATGGACAACCTGTGTTATCCAAACTGGACTTCCATCTTCCAGGTCCCTGAATGAAGCTCTAGGATCAGCTCACGCAATCCACTGGATCTCCCCCTAAAGCTCAGCATACCGTCTCGCTAACCAGCAGTCTTCAGACTGACCAACTTCATCTATCTCCACTCCACCACCAGTTTCAGGCCTGGGGGGGAAACAGCCCTATTCTTTGCTCCTGTTCATGCATATATATCAAAATTCAGCGCTATGTTTCCTCCCTAGGTCTGAGCGCTAAAGACAAAGTAACTGTATCAATAAATTTCTCCTAAGTGTCTTTTCTCTTCATGTGAGTTTTTCAGATTGAAAAAGCTTTTCATCCACTCCAGAAGCACACCGTAAAGCACTCCTAATTAATATATAGTGATCCATTGAGTCAAATGCTTTTTTTAGATCAACAGACCTGCAAAACCTTTTTTTGTCTCTGAAGCTGGTGATTTCTTCTATTATTTACAGAACTCA